TATATATATATATATATATATATATATATATATATATATATATATATTTGCAAGTTCGAGGCCAGCCAGGTCTACAGAGCAAGTCCAGGACAGCCGAGGCTACACAGAGAAAACCTGCCTCAAAATAAATAAATAGATAGATGGATGGATGGATGAATAATTTTTTTTTTGCTTTTTTATTAGAATGCGTCAATATTTCTTACCGCCTGTGGATTTTTAGTAGCTTTATGAAGCTCTTTTATACACCATAAAGTTCACACATACCACTCAATGATTTTAATAAATTTACAGTTATACAACTGTCACCACAATCCAGTTTTTAGAACACATCCAGAAAGATATCTTCTGCCCATTTTATATTGCTCATATTTAGACTCCCACCTGAAGGAAACTTAATCTGCTTTTTGTTTGTATATATATTTGCTTACTATAGATATCTTTTACATGTGGAATCATACAGTGTATGATTTTTTTCGTTGGCTTCTTTCATGCCATTTTTAAGATTCATCCATATTAAAGCATGCATCAGTGCTTTATTCTGATTCTGGATAGCATAACATGTCTGGATACACCACACTTTGTCTACTTGCCAATTTATAGAATTTTGAGTTGCTTATAAAATATTCCACTGTGAATATTCATTTGCAAGTCTTTCTGTGGACTGACATTTTTATTGGGTAGATAAAGGATTGGAATTGCTAAGTCATATGTTTTGTTTATTTGTTTTTGTTTTTGAGACAGAATCTCACTATGTTGTTCTGGCTGGCTTGGAGCTCACTATGTAGACCAGATCCTCCTATCTCTGCCTCCTGGATTCTGGGATTATCTGTTAAACTGCAAAACTGTTTTCTAAAGTGGCTATACCACTCACATTCTCCTCAGACATCTGCATTTTGATTCATAGTTAGAAAACCTTTTCTTATACTAAAATTTAATGTGTGTGTGTGTGTGTGTGTACTTTGGAGCAGAAGAAATGGCTCACTGCTTAAGAGCACATGCTGCTCTTAACAGAAGATCAGAATTTGACTCCCAGCACCCCCGCTGAACAGTTTACAGCCACCTGTACCTGTAGAGAATCAGATACCCTCTTTTGGCCTCTACAGGCACCTACACTCAGATTCCTATACATACAAGCAGATGCACACATACATGTAAATTTAAAAAGTAAAATACCTTTAACATTTTTCTTAGTACTCATGCTTTGTACCTCAAATTTTTTGTTTATAGTTAATTTTTTTATATGATATGGGCTTACATTCATTTAAATATCCTCATTTTTAAAAAATTTGTACTCTTCATTTTAAAAAAAAATGATGTGTTTTTGTGGCACATTAGAAAAGAATGAAGAATAAAACTTAAGATTGCCATAATTTCATCTCCCTGAAACTACTACAATTTTCTCTTTTGAAGTCTTTGGTTACTATCATCTTGGCTTCCTGGTAATATTTTAAGACTTAGGTAAAGTATAGAAAACTAGCATTCATTAAAGGATTCCTTAAAGGCCTATCCTTATTATATTCATTCTAAAGGAATTGACTTAACTTCTTTTTATTTCCATATAGCACAAACCTGTTCCATGTATGGCAACTCTAATGAAAATGAGACTATAAGAAACCATTCCAGACTTTTGTAGAATATACTATAAAATAAATCATTTGAGATTGGATGTGGTGGTGCATACTTGCAGATAGCAACAGGAGAATCATAAGTTCAAGTACTATCTAGGCTACAAATGGCAAGACCTTGTCTCAGCCCCCTTTCCCTAGTTTCCCTGAATGCAACACACACACACACACACACACACACACACAGAGAGAGAAAGAAAACTCTTGCTATAAAAGTAATATACTCTGCCTATTGAGATGGCTCAGCTGGTAAAAGCTTTTCATTGCCATGCTTGACCTCAGTTTGTTCCCTGGAACCCACATGATGGAAGGAAACAACCTACCCCTGCATGTTTTCCTGACTTTCACATATATACCATGTCATGTATGTATATCACCACTCTCCCAGCTCCCTCACAATACACAAAATAGGTACAGTAGCTAGGTGGATGGATAGATGTAATAAATTTTTAAAGTAATACACTATAAATTCAATGAATTAAGCAATTCATTATTCACTATTTTATAAAAATGCTTTTCTCAAAAATGTTTAAAATTAGACATGTAATCATTACAAAAAGTACATTTTACATATATATTTCTCTTTTGTCCTTGGATTGTCTTTTTGATTCAGGGTCTGTGTTGCTGGAACCTTGGTACTGATTTCTATGAGTGTCTGCTTGTACCTGCCTTGCAAATTTGAATATTGACAGCTAAATAAACACATGCTTTTTGGGTTTTGTGTGTGTGTTTTCTTGGCATGATCCAAATTCTATTTTCTGCTTTATTCTTTTAAGTCCTTACTCATCATATGGATGCTCCACTTCATTTTCTGGTTCACTGTTGCCTTCCTTACAATCTTGGAGAGAACTTGTTTTTCCTTATTACTCTGAGAGCTTTTATGTCCAGCATTCTCTGCATGCCTGTATGTCCAATGTTTAGATTGGCCAAGTAGTTATGGCATGGCCTCTGAAACTACACTGCTGACTTCAAATCCCAGCCTTACCATCATCCCCTAGTTCTTTGACCCTGACTTATTTGACATCTTTGTATATCCGTTTTCTCAATCGTGAAATGAGGATCACAAAAGAACCTACTTAATGGGGCTGTTGTGAAAAATAAAATGTTTAATATACATAAATCATTTACTACAGAGACTAGCTCATAGTGCTATGGAACTGTTCACATATTTTCATAGTTTTTAAATATTACAGCATTAACCTCAAATTGCAGTCAAGAGCCTTCTCGTAAGTACTAAATTTTTCTTGGAAAAATGAACAGTTCATTTAAGTATGATTTCTGCACTTAGAAAAATATTTTTGGATAAAATACCGAGTTAAAAATATTGTTACTTTGAAACTTTTTTGCTTATGTGAGTAACATGGAAGTTTTCAATTTAATGATAAGAGACTAACAGCACTTTAAAATAATGCTATGTACGTTAATAGTTTTTTTTTTTTCCTTTAGCTATTCTTTTAATTAAACATTACTTCTTACAAGTCTTGGCAAAGTCTTAACAGTATCTCATGAAACCTTATCATGTGGCCTTACTATTTACTTTCTGATAAAGAGCAAGCTAAGAAAGTTAAGACCTCTGAGAATTGAAGGAGGTCTAAAAGTAGGTTAGAGGATACATGCTGTGTTCCTGAAATCATTTATATGCTTTACTAAGATTGTGAACTATTCCCTGAGCACTACTTCATGTGTGTGTGTGTGTGTCTGTGTGTGTGTGTTTGTGTACAAGCATGAGTATTCATTTGCAAACACCCATGCATGTGTGTGTGTGGAAGTCAGAGGTTGACATTAGGCACCTTCCTCTATACGCACTCCACCTTATTTTTTTACAGTTTAATTTTATTATTTTTAATTATGTGTAATTGTGTGTGTGTGTGCGCGCGCGCACACGCACGCACGCACTCCCTCCCTCCCTAGAGGCCAGAGGAGGGAACTGGATTCCCTGGAACTGGACTTAAGAGTTGGCTGGTTGTGAATTGCCAGTTGTAGATTTGGGTCTAAACTGTTCTCTCCAAGAACAGTAAACTCACTTAATCTTGAGCCACCCCTCTAGCCCCTCTCCACCTTGTTTTTGTGACAGGCTTTTTCCACTGAACCTGGAGTTCTTTGATTGGCTAGGCTTACTAGCCAGTGAAATCCAAGATCTACCTATACCTGCCTCCCAGCACTGTAATTACACCCACATATAGCTATGCCTTTGTTTTTTACAAAGGTGCTGGGAATCCAAGTTTACATCCTCATGCTTGCAGAGCAAGCATTTTACCCGCTGAGTCATCTCCACAGATCTTTTTTTTACACTTTCTTCACTTTGTATCCCCCCATAAGCCCCTCTCCCTCCCCTGCCGATCCCCCCCCCCCTCCCCCTTCGTCACGCATGCCCCTCCCCAAGTCCACTGCTAGGGGAGGTCCTCCTCTCCTTCCTTCTGATCTTAGTCTATCCACAGATCTTTTAATGCTTAGTAAAGGGTCAAGGATGGGAAGAATGAAAAAAATGGGTATTTTAGATAGCCTTCACTTTTTAAATTACATGACATAAATAGAAAAATTTTAAACTATGAATCATGACAAAAGGTAGTCCAACTTATTACAGCTTTAACTGTTTCTGAATTGTTACTTCTTCCAAATCATTAAGTACTTGAGTGTTTTTCTTATTCATCTGTCCATATATACTACATGACTAGGAGGATAAATAGGCATTGGTTGCTTTCCTCAGGCTTTTGTTTTACCCTACTCTGGCCATCAAATGTATTTTTCTAAAGTTTTACTTTCTTTGTTTTAGTGTGGAACCATCAGAAAATCTACAGTCCCTGATGGAGAAGAATCAGGCTCTGGTGATAGAGAATGAAAAATTAAGTCGTGGTTTGAGTGAGGCAGCTAGTCAGACAGCCCAGATGTTGGAGAAGATCATTTTGGTGAGGCCCCAAAATTGAAACACCACCAATTTAGTATCTAAAATACTTAACATGACTTATTGTAAAGGACATTTATACAGCATGGAACAATGAATACTTACACTTCTCCACAATTAATTTATACTAATCCCATTTTAAAATAGATTTGTCATTAAGAGTCCCCAAAAGAAAGAAGCAAATCCCTATTTTATTTTAATTCCAGCCCAATCTATCCATAATGCAGCTTGAACATCCCTTAATCTGAAATCTGAAGTGCTTCAAAATTGAACTATTTGAACATTGACATGAAAAGTTCTACATCTTACCTCATATGATAGGTCACAATCAAAAAGAAGTTGAAGAAATCATACTGAAAATATTATATAAAACTGGAGCAGGGAAGGTATGGCTCAGTTGATAGAGTACTTACCTGGCAGGCAGAAAGCCCTGGGTTTGGTTGCCAGTGCTGCATCACCAGATATGGTAATATACTCCTGTCATTCTAGCACTTAGGAGGTAGACGCCTGAGGATCGGATGTACAGCTACATTGTGAGTTTGAAGGCAGCTTGGGCTACATAAGATACTGTCTTAAACTGTGTGTACACTCTTTGACTATGTATAAAATGTGTGTGAGACATAATGATTTTGGGTTTAGACTTATGTCTCTTCTTTGAGACATCTCATTATGTATACAAACATTCCCAAATCTGAAAACCATTTGAAATCTGATGCAGTTTTTGGTCGCAAGAATTGTAGTAAAGGAATATTCCATATATGCCAAGAAACTAACTGTTCCTAATCATTAAGCTCTAAATTCTCTCACTCCCTTCCCTTAATGCTCTCACATTTCTTATCCTATCCTAACAGCTGCCATGGTGAAATACAACAGCTGGGGAAATAATTTGAATTAATTTTCCATATGGTTAATTTCCAAATAAGAGTTTTGCTACGTGACTGATGTCACCACTTTGAAACCCTACTTGTCTGTATGATTATAACCTCTTAAATCAGTGCAGGGTGACTCTGTCACTACAATTTTCATACTAGCCTATGTACAACTCAGTCTTTGCTTATACAGCTATTGCCAGAAGTAAAACAGAGTTTCTACCAAAATGTAACTGAACCTCCGTAAGTAAACACCTTATGCCTGAATGTGCTCTCTAATAAAGGAAAAGTAAGCTGCTGAAAGTTTTCTCTAGAAATAGCCAAATCCTACGGCCATTTTATTGCCCTTTACTAGTACAAGGTTAAAGTGCTATCTAAGTTTTATTTTCTATTCCAGTGACACATTTTATGTCTATAAAGTAGCTGTGTTTTGCATGCATGTGAGCATGGCTGACACACTAGATATTTGTTATTCTAGTCACATACCTATATGACCTTTATAAGGTTATTACAGTGGCTCCCTGATAAGCTTATTGTTTTATATCCTGTCAGAACAGTCTTTCCTAAATCTGTTGTACCATCTAGCTTCTTACAAATTCTGTGATTGAAATAATCATTCTTCCTAAAACATAGATGCCTTCTGCCCTTTCTTTTTCACTAACATTATTCTTGTGCCTTACCATTTTTTTCTTTGCTTTCTCTTATTAAAAACAACCTGTCATATCAGATAGTATATTTTCTTTAATCTCAGCTCAAATTGATGTGAGGTCCTTTCATGTTTTAAATGCTCTAAATCAATGGTTCTCAACATTCCGAATGCTATAACCCTTTAATACAGTTCTTCATGTGATGGTGACCTCCAACCATAAAATTATTTTCTTTGCTACTTCACAACTGTAATTTTGCTACTGTTATGAATTATAATGTAAATATCCATGTTTTCTGATAGTCTTCGGTGACCCCATGTGAAAGGGTCATTAGAACCCCAAAGGGATCATGATCATGGCCCACAGATTGAGATCCACTGCTGTAAATGCTGAACTAGAGAGTTGGCTCAGCATTTAAGAGCACTTGTTGCTTTTCCAGAGGTCTTGGTTTTGATTCGTCATACCAACATGGTGACTCACAACCATCTGTAATTCCAATCTCAGTAGTGCTCCAATCTCAGCAGTGCTCTCTTTTGGCTTCTGCAGGTACTGCACACACATGATGTACACACGTACATGCAGGCAAAACACTTTTATGCATAAAAAATAAAATAAATTGAAAAGTCTAAGAGTAATGTAGGAGGCAGTTCAAACAGCAGAGAATAACATGCCAGGAAGTATTGCTTTTCCTCAAGTCGCAAAATTCTTTCTGGAATCAAGGCTCCACATTCTACCCCATAGCTTGAGCTTCATGGCAAACATAAAACCCAGCTGCTTAGTTGTTATTTTTAGTAGCTCATGTTAACTTTAGGGCTAATTTTCATGAATGTTAAAAACATATTTCCCACTATATAACCAAAGCCCACTAAATCCTCTATTCTAGCAAAAGAGACAGCTTTCTACCTAGGTTTTTATCCACAGCAAGCATTATTAAGTGAGGCTATCAAGCACTACCACTGATGATTTCCTGGGTCTTTGTTGCAGACAGAGCAAGCAAATGAGAAAATGAATGCCAAGCTAGAAGAACTCAGACAGCATGCAGCGTAAGTTTCTTATAAGAGGTGTTTGCAATTTAAACGTTTTTCATACGTAATCTGGACTTTGCAGTATGATTAACCCTTGTGTTCTTTTCCTTGAATTTTTAGCTGTAAAGTAGATCTTCAAAAGCTAGTGGGGACATTGGAAGACCAGGAATTAAAAGAAAGCATAGAGATCATTTGCAACCTACAACAAGTGATTACCCAGCTATCTGTAAGCCAAGTAGGTGCATTGTATATGTCTCAATCATTTCTTGAGACATATACACATTTCTATTTCTATGAACTCTGCTGAAATAGCTAAACTGCTCTGTTTGAAGACAGAGATCATGAAATATTGAATATGCTCTGAACATTAAGCTTGTTACAGTAAAACACTGATAGGTGATATATATATATATATAAAATTGTACATAAATATTTATGTATTCTAGCAAACTGTGGTGGTGCAGACCCATAATCCCAGCAGTTATGAGATTAAGACATTAGATTAAGACATTATTTGTTTTCTCTCTCTCTAGCTCTCTCTGAAGAGACAGGAACGTCACAGGTTTAAGTCTAGTATAGACTTCATAACAATACTCTTTTCAAAACACAAAAGAACCACTTTTATTGTAGATGTGGTTGTTTGTAGAGGTCTTAGGTTTTTTTCTTCTAATTTATTTTTATGTTCATTGGTGGTTTTGCTTACATGTATATCTGTATGAGGGTCTCAGAAACCCTGGAAATGGAGTTACAAACCTGTGTGAACTGCCATGTGAGTGGTGGGAATTGAACCTGCGTCCTATGGAAGAGCAGTCAGTGTTCTCAGCCAGTGAGCCAGTGAGCCAGCTCCCCAGTCCTGGAGGTCCTGTTTTAAAAGGCTGGTTGTTTTTTTTTTTTTACATTTTTTAATTTATCATTCTGTGGGGTAAATTTATTTGTAACTACCTGATAACAAGATCATTCAAGAGATTTAAAAGTAAATTAAAAAATATATAGTATTATTAAGTTATGGTGGTCAGTTTAAAATATATTAAGTAAACTTCTCTAAAAAACTTGGACCATGTTTTACAGTGAGAAATACTATAGAAAATTTACAATCAAAACTATAGTTTACTTATCCAAGAAACAGGGCACAGTAAAAGAGAACTTGGGTTCCAGAGCCAAATATACTCTGGTTTGGAGCCAGCTTTTCCATGTACTAGTTATATAACCTTACTAAATGTATTACTCTTACAGGGAAATAATTGTGAGTGTCTTAGATTGAGGTTAAAGGCATTATCTCAGCTTATATGCTTATGGGGAGGACTAAAAACCACATGACTCCTTATATCAAAGTAAGATTGAGCCTTTGTAGGGTAAAAAAAAGAGGTATGGGGGGGGTCCTTGTATTTTGGCTCAGGTGGCAGTTTTTGTTGTTAATTGCTGTGAAACTCTTGTTTGGTCCAGCTTTCATGTCCCTTCATTTGGAATATGTTGATGCAATCCTTTTCTGGATTTTTATTGAGACTTTAAGGGTGTAGTTTCTGCCATTCATAGTAGGTACAGTCCCACAGCAAACTCCTTGATCCTCTGGCTCTTACCAGGTTTTCCATGCCCTCTTCCATGGTGTGCCCTGAGCCTTGCATGTAGGGGGTATTTTGTATATTTATTCATTGAGGCTGGGCTCCACAACCTGCAAAGAGAAATATCCTTGAAGAGGGTTGAAAAAAGCCCAGGAGGCCTCAACCCTATGTGAAGAACTGTAGTTAGCTAAGGAATGCTGAGAGCTAGAGAGCTCATCTTCTATAGGGAAGAGTATAGCTATTGGTTATCCAATACCAAATTGTCAGCCCTGAAAACATACATACAAATAATATACAGACTTAGCATGTTATATATAGAAGTATATATGTAGATGCATATATAAATGCTATATATATATAATTACACACACATATATATGTATGTAACAATAATCAATGAAAAAAGAGACCATGAATTTAAAAGAGAGAAAGGGGTTTGTTTATATGGGAGAGTTTGGAGGGAGGAAATAGAAGGGAGAAGTGGTATAAATTTACAATAATTTTTAAAAGAAAAGAAAAAAAAATTATTGAATTAATTACAACACTTGCAAGTCAGAAGCAGTTGGATCTCAATGAGTTTGAAAACAACCTGGTCTAGTAAGTTTCAAGCCACCCAAGGCTACATAGTGAGACTTTGTCTCAAATTTTTTTTTAATTCAAGAGCTAGACAGATGGACCCCACATACATTTTAAATTGTCCATGCTTGTACATATTCAACTTACACATATGCAATTTTAAATTGTCCATGTCTTATACATATGCAACTAAACTCTGTAAATAATCTTATTGTATATGATTCTACATTATCTGTATAGCTGAAGCTATGCAGATATCAAGTTTTTATCTATAGTTGCTCACACTTTGATTTATAGATTAGATGAAAGTACCAGAAAACAAAATTGGTACCAAATCACCACTTCCCAAATTTTAACAGTGTAAATAGTTATAAGCATTATAAATTGTTTTCAACATGGGAGGGTAGAAGGACAGGATGAAGATGTCATATGAACTGATTTCTGCTTATGCTTTCTTTCTTTGCTGGAAGCAGATGGTTTCTTCCTTCCACAGCCTAACATGGTATTTCCTCCATGTGGAAAGCTATAGCGTCAGCCTGTGTCTCCACTTCTTCTATTAGTAGATCAGTCAAACTGGTTAAAGATCCGTTCTAAAGTGTTTGTTTTAAGAGAATCACCCCTTCAGTCTCCAGTCATAAATGCCTTTACATTCTAAATTATGGGTAGTTTTTTCTTCAAAATGGTAAATTGCAAAAATCACATTCCATCCAATAATACTCATGTTATACTATCTTTGTGGTTAAGACATCCTTTACCAGTATTTAGAGGCAAGTGTGAGGCTATTTGAAATTTAGTCCTCTGGTGCCAATCTTGTGATATCATCCAGGCTTTTAATTTTAGTTCAAAGAGTTAACTATCAATGTAATTTATGTACATCATAAAGAAATGTATTGCTTCTTCCTACACATAAAATATTCAGTTTGACACTTCTCAGTGAAAAAAAGAATTACCTTTGTTATCAACTTCAATGCTACTTAAATATTATTTAAATAAATTCAAATTTTGTCAAATGAAAGGAAAAAAAAAGAGTATTCATTGCTCTTGCAAAGGATCCAGGTTTGGTTCCAGTTTGGGGGATCTGATGACTTCTGGCTTCTGCTGGCACCAGGCATGCATGTATAGACAAACACATAAAACAAAAACAAGTACATTTTTAAAGTGAATTTTCTCAAATGCTATGGGTTAGGATCACTGGCAGAAATGGTGACAACAGGTTGGATGAGGCAAAGACTGAAGAGAAGGACACTGCAAATCCTCTTAACAACTGTCTTAATGTTTTGTTTTGTTTTTTTAGATTTGCATATAAACATTTCTTAAGGCAAAGAAAATGCTTTGAAAAACAAATAATAATTGAGGTTTAGAAAAATGGGAAGATTTTACATACTTGGAGAATGGCTAGCACAAAGATAATTGCCACCACCTCTAATTCTGCTTAAATATATCAGAAACATCATATATTAAGAAAACATTATGAGTTTCCCCAGAAGTATGATATGATAATGTAGGGTGCAGAAGCCTGCTGGAGCCAAAATTTATAACCTCTGAAAATAAGGGCTCAGGATAGTAGTGCTTGTGGCCACATTGATGTTAGAGGATTTTCTACTTCTCTTTTCTCAGAGCTGAATCACAAGAAAGATGAAGGTAGCCTATGGAGTGAACTTAATACAACAAACCATCCCCACCGAAGATCTGGCAATAAAGCTCATGCCTGGTGTGCCTGTAGGCAGACCTGTTAGTGGTGGCTGGCTCGGAGAAGTTCTGTAGAATTGCTGTCTGCCACTAAAATGCTCTTGGCACACACCGTAGGAGCGTGCTAAAGATTGCCACAAGCTGATAAAGTTCTTGGCTCCCCTCCACCATCAGAGTTAAGAAAAGTAAATCTTTTTACCCAAGGCTCCTGCTGGACTCTTGAATCACTTTTCCTTCACTATTGTCTGGAGACCCTCCCAGTTACTTACATTTTTAAAGGCACAACAGTGTATCCCCGTGGCTTTTATTAAGACTCACAACAGTAAAAGAAAAGTGTTTCAAATGTAAGTACATGTGCCCTTCATTCTGAATTAAAACTATTTTCATTTTAAGTGGCAGGCGAATACCCCATTTTCAGTTATGAAGGCAACCATTGTTCCTGGACTTTCCTCCTGGGGCTTTTAGGTACCAGGCTGTACCGTTAAAATATAATTCAAGCAAACTTTCTTGTTACAACAACCTGTGAAGAAATTCAGGCAGTCATTTCAGTTCCAGCATAATCAAGTACTATTTTTGATTATATACCATTTTCCAAAACAGAGTTCATAAAAAGTGTTTTGCATGCCCTTTCCAAGCACATACTTCATTTTGGAAGACTCTGCTGTTTAATGTAAACAAAGCCTTTGAGCCTTTGTGACCCTGAGTTAATCATACCTTTTATTTAAATGGGGTTGTAAGTTTCAGCCTTAGATTGAACAAACAAGAGGAGAAAAGGACTGTTAGACTGAAATAAATTCTATTGTTACATATTTATATAATTAGAATTGTGAATACAGAATTGTTCTATGATTATACAAAACACATCACCATAGCCAGGAGCTGAAACATTGGCATTGTAAGTTTTCACTGGGCCAAAAGCCATCTAGTTTGATCTTGACCCTCTTAAATGTGCCAGGAAAAGTCTTTAGGCTGCATATGTTGTTGATGATTATAATCCCATAACTTGGGCCATGGGGGCAGGAGGACAGTGAGTTTGAGAGTAGCTACATGAGTTCCAGGCCTGCCAGAGCCCGCCAGCGGAGTCAAACAGTTCTTGAGTCAGGAGTGAGTACTGAAAGAAAATAAACCAACACACTGCACGTGGGATCTGCCCTTGAGGGCTTCCAGTAAAAAGTAGTTGCCTCGGTTTATTCATATAATCCCCTTTCAAGTCAGAGCAGAAGCACCTCAGTGCCAAGAATGTGTTCACTGGGAAGTCAAAACTTCTTTACCTTGACCACCTGTCTGTGTGATCCTCATATAAACAAAAGGTATGAACTTGACAGGACATCCCACCTGCACTCTGAAACAAAAGGAGGTAAACTTGGCAAAACGTCCTGCTTATCACTGACTTCAGGTAAAGGCCAGGGTGAAAATATGTCTTTCCCCTGAGGCTCAATAACAAAGCAGCCTGATGGACCATGGGATCCCCACACAGGTCTGCCTTTTTTTATTTTAAAAAGTGACTATAACTTAAGAGCTATGGACTAGAAGATTTTGCCTGTCTTAGGTTGTCTCTGTTGAAAGATATATTCTTACCCACCATTGGTACATGAATTCCTTCATTCATGCCCTGTCTTAGATTAAATATTCTTCAGAGAGATAGCACCCATCTTTGACTACCAACCTCCATCCACTACAGTAGACACTGGGGTTTAGTCTTTTGCAGATGAGCTTTAACATTCTAAAAGGCCTTGATGAAGGTTTTAATTATCACCGGTAGGAGACATGCTCCTAATAAGAGTAAGAAGCCAAGTTCAATACCACTCCATAAAAGTGCCTTAAAAGATGACCCCTTATCAAAATACCAAGCCTGAGAAACATTCACAGGAACCATAATAAAAGGCTGTTGAACAACCAGAACCTATTATTCATTTGAAAGCTTAGGACTACAGTTTATTTATATTGATGGCAAGAAACAAAGTTTGAATCTTGTATAAAAACATTAACATTTCTAAACGACAAAGCATGTCCATTTGAAAGCATAGAAATACAGTTTTAGTTTACATTGATGGCAAGAAACATTAAAGTTTAAAGCTTGTATAAAAAAGTTAACATTTCCAAACAACAAAGCATAAGGAGAATTTACATAGGCAGTTACAGGGCCTTGAAAGTGTTTCTGCAGCAAGCTTCCAATATGGGTCTGCTGAAAACCAGAATCAGACCAAAGTCCCATAGTCAGTCCTCTTTTTAATTCTTGCTAATTTTGTTGAGAATTGTCCTAATTACCAGATCAGTCAAGTCCAGTCACATTGTATCTAAGAGGTTTCTCTGCATAGCATCATTTCCCAGGAGCAGAATGAAACAAAGGTGGATCAGGAGCATAAGCCCAATACAGCTCTCCATTCACCATTAAGACAGAATTCACCATGGTCAGCAGCAGGAACATCCTCCTTCAGGTGCACATCTCCTGCAAATCACACCAGCCTCTCTGTGATCCACCTGGCTCCTTCTGCATCCTGCAGAAAAACAAACATGCTGTCTTCCACATATTAATACAGGGTCGGGGCCCTGCCATAAACTAGTAATCGGATCTTTCCATTTTATTTTGGCATAATTATCTTTGGTATTAGGGTGCTACAATCAATCAGCCATAGAATGGCCTTGTATATCCACATTCAAAAAATTTAAAGAGAGCATGGTTAATATATTTCTGTGGTGTTTGGGGATGTAACTCACCCTTTTTTATTTTTATTTTTTTTGCAATTGGTTCTTAAGAGATCCATAGGCGTGCTCCACAATTCCTTGACCTTGAGGATTATGTGGAATAGCTGTTTTATGACATATTCATTTGCACATGCAAACGGTGAAATGTTTGATATGCAGTACTATTATCAGTCTTTATAATGGAAGGAATACCAATTGTAACGAAACATTTTAAGCAATGACTTATAACCTGTTTGGTGGCTTCTCCTGCTAAGGGAGTTGCCATGATAAATCAATTGTTATGTGAACATTTTTTAGTTTTTCAAAATCTGGGATATAAGTAATGTCCATTTGTTGTTTGGAATGGTTCCAACTCTAGGTTTTAAGTACATTAACCTTGTTACAGATTTTAAACATACCCAATGACCAATAATCTATAACCAAGACATATTGAACATGAGAAACTTACAGATACAAGACAGACAGATATTCTCTTGCTAAACATTCTCTGATAATTGCTTCCAGTCCCCTGGGCAGAGGGGGACTTCAGTTGAAAAGGACTCTAACAGACCTTGAGTAAAAGGTACCATAGGACTATATTGAAAGCATGCAGTTTTCAATCCTTTTAATTGTTTAAAAGATATAAGTATGTGGAATCTCACTATATCACCCTGTCGATCAGGTTGCTCTAGATTTGGAAAACCATAAAACACAGTTATATCTTCTTTGTTCTGCCTAGCTTGTAAAGAAACTTGTAAAGAGGATACAGTTGCCTGCACAGTGGACAAAGGAAAAGGTCCCCCTGTCTTTTGAGCTACAACTGTAGCCATCCCAGGAGGAGGGTCCAAGCCTGCAATCAATGAGGGAGTTGGAGTGGGGGATTGAGCTTCATTTTCCCTTGTAGTTAATTCTCCAGTTTTACTATTTATTTTCTCCAAGCCCCATTCCAACTTTTAAAATTTCTTTTTGCCAAGACTTAAGTTTTTTAACAGTCATAGCCTGAATCAGAGGGTATCTCTCAGAATAATATTTAGCTGCTTCTCGCTCCAACTCTGCAACTTCATCATGACCTAAACCATCCTCAAAGTCTTCTTCTAACAAGAAATTATTATCATCAGGAGGGACATATAGCTCTTGTGGAGGAGCCAATGATTTAATTTCATTTTGTCTTAAAGCCTCCCATCTTTCTATCCTCTTTCTCTCTAAGCCTGGAAATTTCACTTTCTCAGTTCCATGTCGCATATGCAGACTATCTCTAATTAAATTCCATACAAAAAACATGAGGCTACTGCCTTGTCCTGTTTTTACTTTCATATTTTACTCACCGCGCCTTTTTACTTTATGATCTGAGCTCACCAACACCCGCAGTGTCCTTTATTGCTTCCCTACATCTCAAGTCCCTGTTCAGAGGGGCCAAACTGCCAGAGCCTGCTGGCAGAGTCAAACAGTTCTTGATTTGGGAGTGAGGATTGAAAGAATATTAATAAACTGACTCACTACACATGGGATCTGCCCTTGAGGGCTTCCAGTAGAAAACTAGTCACCTTGGTTTACTCATATAATCCCCTTTCAAGTCAGAGTAAAAGTACCTCAGTACAATGAATGAATTCACGGAGAAGTCAAACTTCTTTACCTTGACCACCTGTCACTGTGATCCTCACACAAACAAAAAGTTGTGAACTTGACAAGACATCTCACCTGCTGTCTCAAATAAAAGGAGGTAGACTTGGCACTACTTATCACTGACTCCAGGTAAAGGCCAGGGTGAAAACATGTCTCTCCGCTGAGGCTCAATAACAAAACAGCCTGACAGACCATCAGCTCCCCACACAGGTCTGCCTGAGCTACATTGCAAATGGCTGTTTCAAAAAAAGGCCCTCAAAGAAGGCAGTGTTAGAATCCCTTATAATCTATGATAGTTATATAAACATACTAAAATTTAAACATGAGAGAGAAGAAATGGTAACCATTAAACAATTCTAGATTGGTGCTCCGTGTTTAAAGGACTTAAGTGTGCCCTATACCGGGAGCCTTGCCAGTGCTCTACATTAGGATGAGAAAGAATGTGGAAACACCTCAGCTTCTTTTGAGTTCCCTTCGATCCTCACTGGCTAGGAACTTCTGAGCAGAGCAAGGGGAATGCTTTACAAACAGCATTCATTAAAGCACCATATCCTGACCATTAAGGGCTCAAGACTGCAATAGCTGTGTATTGTTTCACAGGGCTGATACAGACACTGCGTGTTTAACCCTAAAGTTCTCCATTGCTTCAGAGCCAATGATTCTTTCCGCTCCGAACTTCTTTACCATATGAGTTCCTGAGAACAAAACTTTCTAAGGTTTCAGAATCCCTGAAGCCTAAGCAGTGATGCATATGTTAGAGTGCTAAGTAAAGGGTAAGTTTCAGTGATGGGAACAGAACTGCTCAGGCGACTACCTATAAACAAATTTGCCCTAAGAAGTAGTTTTCGGTTACCTTTCTAGGTGTTTGTTCCAGTGCCCAAAAGGATTAGCCACTCTCTAGGAGGGAACATGCCCTCCCCAGGTGCTTATTCTTTCCCTCATAGTAACTACCTGCAGCACTTGCATAGGATGTGAGGAGCAGAGGCCAAGGGACATGTGTATGACTTTATGCGTCCATGTTTGTCTCTGGCCTACTCATCTAGGACATTAATTTCCTCGTGGAGTGAGAGCGTACCATCTTGACTGGCTGTAAAATAAAAGCCAAAACCAGTTCTTCATTCTATGCAATTTCCTGATGCACTACAATTATTTTTTGTTTTTTTTTTTTTTTGAGGGTATGTCCATGGGAGTGCCTAAGCGTGTACATTAATAAGAGTCTCAGTGATAGAAGCATAAAAATAAAGTGTAGCCTTCTATAAAATGGGTTAAATTTTGACCCGTTAGGATGGTTAAATGTTTCTCTTTGGCTCAGTGACCTTTGGATCTCTTAACCACATGTCCTTTTTTCTCCAGAGACTACGCGGTCACCCTTTGGATAAAAGAAAGACCCCTGAGTGGTGGAAAATGAAAGCACATAGCTGTTAGGGTGTGTGTGTCTACAAAATCAGCCCAGTACCACAAATGACTTCTGCACATACTTTAAAAATATCAACTTAAGAAATAAAATAATCAGCATAAACATCTTTTGTAAATTTCACTTTGATATTTTTTCCTAAATCAAAACTTTTTTTTTTTTTTTTTTTTTTTTTTTTGCTATAGGATGAAACTGTTTCTTGTATGACTGCAACCATGGAGACTGCAGTGGAAGCAGACACTGTAAGTAACTGATGTCTTTGTGTGGAACCTGGAGCTCTCACTGCTGCTCCCTATGGCTTCCTGTAACTGATCAGTCAATCAAATCTGGGAGAAAATCTGTGATTATTGCCATTATTCATAGAATGCTGTGGAAATCTAAAACTCTTTAGAGTAAATCTCAGTTTCATAATACTTCAAACAAGGATTAGCTCTGTTTCTAATACTCGAAGTGCTAATGAGCAGCTGGACTTCTCCAGAGCATCCTGTTTTATTTTTCAATCTGACTTACTCATTTTCTGTTAGGTGCTAGTTCTGTATCAGTTACCTAGTAAGTTAAAAACAAGGAAAGGCACAAATTAGATAATTATGACAGTCAAAAAAGCACTGCAGGAGAATGTCTTCTGAATATGATTTTTCTGTGGATGGGGTGGCCATGAACTAAAGGAAAATGTTTTGAGTGTTAAGATCACAATGGTAGAAAAGGTATATCTGCTATTGACTTTGACTGAAGGTTATACAGTAAAGTAAAAAATGAAAGTCTAGTGAATGGTTTGTTTGAGGCAGCGTTTTACCCCTGAAATGAGTATATATTGGTAATTTTCTTAGTCTGAATGAAGCAAGATAGGAGATAAATTAGGTAATAAAAGTCAGCTGTGTCAGAATAAATGACTTTTCCTATTTCCAAAGTGACAGTTCCAGTTTCCTTTCCTCTTCAGGGACCTCTTGAGATGAAACAAAAGTAAGGATTGTTTGTCAGATCAATATAAGAAAGAGCAAGGACACATGTATATTAGAGAGCATTATAAGAGCAAGAGAATAAGCTCCAGAATTAACTTCAACTGTTTCAAGCAAATCTATAAGTAGCCACAGTAGTGGAAGAATACAGGTACTGCTGATTGAAAAATGGCTGTGGGGAGTGAAATAGTACCTAAGTAACTCCAGCTTCTTGGTTCTCTTGCAAAGCTGTATGGGGAATGGAGGGATTTATTAGAATGTTTTACAGGCTGTGGTCCAGTTAATCCAACAATGGCTGCTTGTGAACATAAGATCCAAGAATACAGTAGCTGTTTAGTTCACAAAGCTGGATGCTTCAACTGGTCTTCGCTATATGCCAGTGAAAGAATGGTCTTGCTAGTGAGGATGAGAACAAGCAGGCAAAGAAAGCAAGCTTCCCTCTTCCATATCCTTTATATAGGCTTCCAGCAGAAGGTATGACCCATAGTAGAGGTGGGTCTTCCCACTTCAAATGATCAAATTAAGAAAAAAAATATATCCCTCACAGGTGTGTCCAGTCATTTTAGGTTTTAGTTAATTCCAGGTGTAGTCAAATTGACAAACAAGAATAGCTATCACAAAATCATTATCTTTTCCAGCAAGCGAAAACCAGAGCAGATACAAGTGGGTCTTCTGATGTTTTCAGCACTCAGCATGCTCTACGTCAAGCTCAGATGTCCAAGGAGCTGATTCAGTTGAATAAAGAACTTGCATTGAAAGAAGCCCTAGCTAAGAAGATGGCTCAGAATGACAACCAACTACAGCCCATTCAGTATCAATACCAGGTAAAGTGTCTTCTAGGTTAGCAGTTGGTCGTGTCTATCATTTGCTGAGGGAAAACAAACACACACCACTTTTGGTAAGGAAAAGATAAGTGTTTCTCCATTGTCTTCTGTTTCTAGTGTTGTTATTAAGAAGTACATAAGCTCTTGAGTTTTTTGCCTTCTGTAAACTCAAGAATTTTTTTTTCTTTCTCTCTGGGTATCATTTACTCTTACAAAACTAAGCTTCTTATTTTCTTGGATACTGTCACTTCACTACATTTTCTTCAACTATCCTTAATCAGCTATTGAATCTCTGAGATTTCACTCTACTTTTGTTACCTCCTCCCTTCTAAATCCTTGTCTTTTTATTCTATTCACTAGATTTCCTTCCACTTCTAGTGAATATTTTTATTTGCCTCTTAACTTCTAAGATTTCCTTTTGATGTACTGAAGAGTTCTTGTTAACAGAAACCTCTTTATGGATGTAGTATCTATTACTAAGTTTAGGAATTAAAATGTATAAAAGATTTATTCTCCCTGCTTTGTCTCTTTTTTCCACATTTCCTTTCTTTTGTGTGTTTTATCTTCTCTTTCATTTAAGAACCTTTCCTTAAATTTCTGGCGATTTTGGCTGTTTGTAAAAATGTAAGAGTGAGGAACTAAAAGCCAATAAGAAGTTCTCTATACATAGGTTTCTCCTGGGCTAGTCAGTTTCTTTGGGAAATCTTTTATTCTCTGCCTGGAGGTGTGTGGGCAGAGTGGTGGGAAAGTTGCAGTCTTTCTGGTCATGCAAGGTTTTATTTAATACATGTCAGCAGCATGGTTCCTTGTGACTCCTTTTAGCTGTATCTGGGCTCAAAGTCCAGCCTGAAAGTTTTACTCACTACATAAAAGAAGTCTCTACTTCCTCTCTCTGCTTCCATGGTACAAACTAGGTTGTTTGTTTGGCATTCATCCTTTAGGCAAAATATTTTAACTTTTTCTATTCGGGAAGTCAGTTACAGTTTGTCTCTTCCCAAAGTCTCTTGATATATCTTAAATACTGCCTACTCTTCATCCTTGTGTATTTTACAACTTTTTGCATTATTTTAGTAGGATTGCAAGAGGAAGGTTAAGTTTAGTTGTCTGTGTTAACAAGGTCAAATGTGTTTTGATTTTTTTTCCAGGGTCAATAAAAGTTTACTAGTAAGTCTCTCTTCTTATACTACCTGGAAACATGGGAAACAAGTTCCTCCAGAGTACTTCCTACTCTATAAGGAAGTATAAATAATGAGGTGTAACTATAGATACAGTAATATATCTAGTCTTCCCTCTCTAAGAACCAAATACAAAAGAGACTCTTAATAAAAAGTAGTACTTTTGAATCACATGTAAATCATCTCTCTTTCTAAGAAATATTGAGGTTTCCTTTTTTTAAAAAAAACTAAAAAACATGTGCATATGTGTGTACCACTGAACACGTGTTTTATGGCCTGAATGGTACTTCTACCGTGGAATCAGTTGTGCTAAGGTCTTGACCCTTTTACAAAAAAACTACTGCACATGAGATGAGTGAATGTTAGTTTCTGTTCAGTGAAGGTTTTTGTCAGTTGTTGTGAACCAGGACTCAAATACTTTAATAATTTCCTCTATGAAGTTCGTAAGATAATCAGTGACTAAATGTGGATATGATACTGTTTTTTACCAATTAAGCTAGTGACAATTTTGAAGTATTGTGATATCACACATTAGTAAGGCTACAACTTAACCTTAAATGGCAAGAGGAAATTGAAATAATCAGCTTGGATGATAATGAATGTGTATTATATGTATAGTATATATTTTTATTTACATATGGTTATATATTGCAGACATCTACATATATAACATTTTCTACTTAAGATGTAATGCATGTATTTTATATATGTAAAAGTTTAGATATGTAATATATACACATGTAAATAGGGAAATATCTGGACGATCAATACTAAGCTATAGTTCCTTCTGAAAAGAAGGTGCTAGAATTTTGGCAAGCCTAAGACAGTCAAAGAGTCTTATCTTTTATATGTGTTATCTGGATTATTTTTTCATAGGAAGATAGTCATAATTGAATATAAATGCATATTTACATACTCTTTATTTTCTTTTATTACCAACCAGTTTAAATATGCAGGTTACCTGTAAGCAATGCTATTGACTTCCATTGGTTATATGGAAGTGACTTGGCCTGTTGTATGGAAACAGCTCTAGCAAATTTATAAGTCTTCTTGGATACAGCCCCTAATCTGCTTTTGCTTCTTTTTGTCTGTCATGTACTGATCCTGAGCCTTCATGTAACTTTGGTTCTCAGCTACTCAGCCAGTTTTCTTTCGTTTTGGTAATGAAGACAAAATAGAATCTAACCAAAGGGATTTTTTTTTATAGCCTAGAAAGCATCCAAATTTCAGTTTCTAAAAGTCGTTGCCTAAATGCATGTAGAAGTGCAGTTGCTATCGAACTGATAAGTTTGAAAGTTCCAATGTAAGAATACTGAGGGCTGAAGGCCCATTTGGTAACATATTTACTTAGCATGAATGAAACTCTAGGGTTGATCCTTAGCACCAATTAAACTGGGTTTGGTAGCTTGTAATCCTAGTACTTTGAGGCAGAGGCTGGAAGATCAAAAGTTAAAGGTCATCCTCAGCTACATAGGGAAGTTCTGGCCAGAAAACATCTTGCTTCAAAACAAAACAAAAAAACAAGTTACGAAGCTCTTTAAGATTATAAAATGTCCTTACCATTTAATCCTGTTTTATCTTCTTAGCCACCCTATAAAGAAATATTAGTGAATCATGTCTGTCTACTTGTTTGTTTTGAAATGGAACTCACAGTCTGGCCTCAAACTTCTGGGCTCAAGTGCTTCTCCTCCTTTAGCCTTCTGAGTAGTTAAGACTCTAGTCATGCACAAGCACCACTACACCTGTCCAATGTTATTTATACAGGTAGAGAAACTCAGGAGACCCCGAGAGGACCTCCAAATCAAGACTTTCACTAGAGAGACTCCAAAGATTCAGCCAATAGTCATACTCACATTAAGATTTATTAGCGAAAGGGTACAAGCAAAATGAGCAAAGAGAAAAAAAGCCCACAGACAAAATCCAGAAGAAACCAAACACAAGCTTCCAAATATCCTCTCCCAGTGGAGTCACACAGAATATTTTATTCTTTCATTTATGTAATTATATGTGAAATATTCTTTACCAGGAAAGACTCAACCCCCTGACCCTAGGAATCCAGGGTCCATCATATAGGCTCTCTTTGTTTTGTGCATACTATAATTCTATACCCCCTGAAAGAAGATAGGCATTCTGGGATAAATTACAGTATTTGCATAGTTTAGTCATAAGTGAACCACTGTTACTAGTCAAGTAAAAAATTAGAGTTTCCAGGCACAGGCCAAAAGACAACCTCCAAGAAGCCCTTTATTGATAGTGGTGTCAGAACTACTATATTAAATCTTTTCAGCATAGAAACTAGGACTAAGAGGGATTTTCTATGATACACTTAGTGTTATAGTTAAGATTCAGATCCAGGCCTTTGAACTTCAAGTCCAAATATATATATATATTTGAACTTCAAGTCCAAATATATATATATATATATATATTTTTTTTTTTACACACACACACACACACACACATCTTGCTACCACACACATCTTGCTACCACACAGCTTTATACTCCTTCAAGTAAAAAAGAAATATTTTAGTGTGTATTTGATAAAAAAGTGTAATGAAATTCATAAACCCAGATGTGGAATTTCTGTAACCTTAGCACTTAGGAAGCTAAGGCATGAGGATAGCAGAGTCCAGCCTAGCCAATGAAAAAAAAGCCTTGTTTGTTTTTAAAAAAAATAAAAGGAGAGGGAGGAAGGAAAAATTAATAAAAGTAATTCTTGGGCCAAGCCTGGTTATACATAACTTTAATCCAAATATTCAGGAGGCAGAAGCAGGCGTATCTCTATGGGTTTGAGGCCAGTTTGCAAGTTCCAGGCCAGCCAGAACTATATAATGAGACCCTGTCTCAAAAAAAAAAAAAAAATTAATGGTTCCTGGAGACAAAACATTGAAGCAGTTCTCTTCCTATTCTATATAATCCTTTTTCTCTGACCTGTAATATTTCTAGGATAACATGAAAAATCTGGAATTAGAAGTCCTCAGTCTACAGCGGGAAAAAGAAGAGTTGTTTCTTGAAATTCAAACGGCAAAGAAGGATGTCAACCAAACCAAGTAAGAATAAAGTCAATAAATGCTAAGCCCCTGCCATGTGTAAGATGATTTTGAGTGAACAGAGAAGTAGAAGACCTAATCATGCCTCCAAACTATTTTAACATAGTCGGTAGGAAAAAGAATCCTAGACACGAAAAAAATTAAATAATCAAGACTTTTTACATTTTTTAAAATTATGTTTAATTATGGGGGGTGGGCGGGTATGTGCACACGAATGCAGCTACCCATGGAGGCCAGAAAATGGTACAAGATCCCCTGACAATAGAGTTACAAGTGGTTGTGAGCCACCCAACCTGTGTGTTGGAAATTGAATTCAGATGATCTGCAAGAGCAACATGTATTCTTAACTCTTGCACCAACTCTCCAGCTCCAGTAAAATGTCAGGATGACAATAAAAAATGCTGTAACATAGCAAATAATTAGTGCCCAAATCAGTTTTTAGCCATGACCAAGAATTACTTTAAGAGTAAGTAAGCAGTATTTAGAGTTCACAGGCAGGGGCTATTGATTCAAGATTTACAAAAAGTTAAATGTAAACTGGCATTTGGAAAAAAAAAATCTTAAGACCTCCTAGACAATTTCTGTGCCCCTGCTTGTGAATAAAGTTAATGCACAAGCTAATAATTAAAAATCAATTTAACCCCCCTTGATTCGTTAAGAGTATAACTAAGACAGATAATCAGAACCCTTCTCTCTCTTAGACTTCTACCTTAGAAAGAGCCTAATTTGCTTTTATGATTATTTTCAATTTATATTGACGCTAAACCTTATGTTCTTTAGGGTTATATTAATTGTTTGCTTTCTGTCTTCACCTTGTATAATAATCATCATAATTATTCCTTACAGCTAAGGAATGAGCTATTTCAAATATACTCTTTCCCACCACTCAGTGGCCAAAGGAAGTCAGCTTGCTTTTGGCAGTGAGTGGTGGGAAAGAGTATATTTGAAATGGTTCATTGTTGTGTACTCAATGATATGTTGTTTTACTCTGATATGAAGCTCTCATTAGTAAGATGCTTTTGATTGCATGGGTTATAACCATTATTTTAAAGACGATTCTATATCAAAGTTATCAAGTTGGGAGTCCTGTTACATGTTTTAGAATATGCCATTTCACTCCTATTACACCTGTGTTTAGGTTGAGTGAGCGCCGTCGCAAACGTCTTCAAGAGCTGGAGGGTCAAATAGCTGATTTGAAAAAGAAACTGCATGAACAATCCAAACTTTTGAAGCTGAAGGAATACAGTGAGCATACTGTCTCAAAGCTGAACCAGGAGATACAGGTAATAAAAGCTGAACCAGGAGATACAGTGACTATTACAATGTCTGGAATCTAAATTATAAAACTTTGCTTTGACCTTTCATTTCTATTTATGCACATAGAATTTTAATGTTACATCAAAAAATTAAAATATGTCAATATTTAGTGGCCATGTTCTGATAATCTTCCATGATCACATGCCACAATTTTGTAAAATAGAAGCAAGATGTCAGACATCTAGAGGATATTTTAAGGTATGTGAGTGTTCAACTTATAACATCAGGACAATGAATACAGCTCATTTACACTGCAATCTTTAGAATATTAATAGTTGATAGTTGAATTTGTCTATGGTCTTAGAAAATAATTCTTTAGAGCCACCTTTAATCCCAGCACCCAGGATGCAGAAGCAGGTGGTTTTTTGTGAATTCAAGGTCAACCTGATCTACATAGCAATTTCAAGGCCAGTGGAGTTGCATCCTGACACGCTGTCTTTAAAAAAAAAAATCTTCCTTACTTTATTGAGGGGCTGGAGAGATGATTTAGTGATTAAAAGCCCTTGCTGCTCTTCCTGAGAATCCAAATTTTGTTCCCAACTTCCAGATCAGGTGGCTCAAAACCTCCAGCTCTGGGGGATCCAGCACCTCACTGACAATCACAGGCACATATCACATACACACACATAAAAATACACATATACAAAATAAAAAAATAAAAACAAATCTTAAAAAAAAAGAAAGAAAATCGAGACCCAGTGGTGCTCGTCTGTAATCCCAGCACTCTGGGAAGCAGAGGCAGGTGGATCTCTGAGTTCAAGACCAGCCTGGTCTACAAAACAAGTCCAGGACATTCAAGGATACACAGAAAAATCCTGCTTTGAAAAAACAAATTAAAAGGAAGAAGAAAATACTTCCTTGAAACTCTATTTGTCTAAAGTAAATGTAGGGCAGGATTTAGCTTTTTGGAATATTTCTCTTACTTTTTGAGTCTCCATTGATATAGTCTATACGTGGAAGCCCTATGTAAGTCTAGCAAAAGGTAGCAAGCCTAATCAGCATTTGTTAGTGACCTTCTTAGCTTAGCTCTGGCCTTTCTCTCCTCTTTAATGGTTATTTTCTCCATCTTTACATCAGCTGAGAATAAAGTGCACATGACTTATACACTGATTTTGTTTGGTTTAGTTTAGTTTTGGCTTGGTTTTACAGATGATGAAAAACCAGCGAGTACAGTTAATGCGTCAAATGAAAGAGGATGCTGAGAAGTTTAGACAGTGGAAGCATCAAAAAGACAAAGAAGTAATCCAGTTAAAAAAACAGGTAAGTTAATTAAAGCTTCTGAAAGGCCCATATAATGGGCCCCTGTCTGAGCTAGTAATACCAAAGAGTCTATTTATATATCTGATGTCTCCAGAAGTGTGACATTCATGAATTGAACCGCTTTCTGTTGAGTGTCTACCATGTACAAGGTGCTGTTAATTAAGTACTATGGGAAATTGAAAGCTGAGTAATAAGTGAGCTCTATCCTTGAACAATGTTTTCTCTGTATAGGAAGATGCAATATGAATACAGATTTCTTGAATAGAAAGAATAAATGATTTAAGGATTTGATGCAAAAGGAGGCTAGTGAGATGGCTCAGCAAGTAAAGGTGTTTGCTGCCAAGCCTGACAACTTGAGTGATTCCCCAGAGCCACATAAAGATGGAAGTATAGAACTATCACTACAGATTGTCCTCTGGCCTCCACACATGTGCCATGGTATATACCTCCACATGGAAATAAATAAATTAAATAATTTTAAAAAGAACAACAGACAAGAAAAATAGTCACTTCAGAAAATAAAAGCAGTAAAGGAAAAACAGGACCAAAAAGAATGAGACATAAAACAGAAGGCAAAAGATGTACATTGAACCACATCAGTTACATTCAGTGTTGCTGTCGGACAATTTCTATACAGGGACACTTTCTGCTTACCTCCAGTGATACTGTGCTAGAAACAGAAAGATCTTAAAAAACAATTCAGCAAGCTCCAGGTGCTTCTAAAAAAAATCTAAAGAAATAAAAGTGTCACCAGGGAATATATACTCTTCATGTCATGGCAGTATGTAGTTCAGTAATTTGAAAGAAAGAAAAAAAAAGCACTTGCTTTAGCAAAATCATTTTAAAATAATATTTGTTTTATTGGGCAGAAGGAGGAGAGCAGCAACAGCTCAAGAAGTCAGTTTTCTGCTTCTACTATGTGGATTTCAGGGATCAAACTCAGGTCATCAGGTGGCAAGCATCTTCTCCTACTGAGATTTCTTGCTGGCCCAGCAAGATATATATTTGCAGGTTTATTGGAAGTATATAAATGCAGGTTTATTGGAAGCAGCTTTCTGCCACCAGAAGGCAGGGAGGCAGGGGGTGGGGGAGAGGAAAGAGAAAGAGAAGGGGAGAGAGAAGCAGGGAAAGAAGAGAGAGCACCCAACAAGATTTTTGGTATAACATTTTCCAGAAGGATTTTCAAAGTGTCCATGTGTGGGTTTTTGTCGGTTTTTTTTTTTTGGGGGGGGGGGGTGTTTTGCTTGTTAGTTTAAGCTTAACAATGGACAAAACCAAGCAAAACTTTTTATATATGGTATTTGGGCAAAATATGAGAAGAAAAAACATAGTATATTATAAAGTACAAAATAACACTTATCAAGACAACTGAGCAATTTAGTGGAATACATATGTTATACACGTAAAAACCACAAATGGAAACCACAGTGCAATATCACCTCATATCCACTGGGAGAGCTGCAATTAAAAAAGAAAATAACAAAGTTGGTGGTAGTGTAAACTTACTAGTGGAATGTAAAATGGTCCAGCCACTATTCCTTAACATTTATGTATCTCATGTATATGTATTGTGTGAACACACATGTGCCATGGCACACATGTGGAGATCAGAAGACAATGTACAGTAATCAATTATCTCTACATGTGAGTCCCAGAAATTAAACTCAGGTCAATAGGCTTGGCAGCAGGTGCTACCACCCTCTGAGCTATCCTGCTGGCCTAACTAATCACTTTTAAAAATTGACCATCTGTTAAACAGAGAGTTACCATAAATTCAGTGTTCATGAGACCCTTCAGTCCTCAACACACACACACACACACACACACACACACACACACACACACACACACTGTCTCTAGTCTTCAAAATACACACGTCACACAGAAAAAAACATTTGGCAAAACCCAACATTCTTTGATGATAAAAAACAAACTTAAAATCTGACTTCCTGAATATGATAGTGTATGAAAAACCCACTGCCAAGATTAGAGTATACTTAATGATAAAAAACAGAAAATTTCCCAAAGATCAGGAACAAGGATGTTTGTACTTGTTGCTTCTATTAAACATTGTCCCATTGGTTCTAGCCTATAAAGTTGTTTGTAGGCAACATGATCAAATGTACAGAATATTTCTGTTAACATTATCAGTTCAATAAAGGTTACAGGGTACATAGTAAATATAAGAAAATAAGTTGTTGGGGTTAGAGAGGTGACTCAGTGGCCAAGTGCTTACTGCTCTTGCATAGGACCCAGGTTCAATTCCTATCACCTACATAACAACCTTCAACTACCTGTAACTCGAGTTCCAAGAAACCCAGTGCCTTCTTCTGAGCTAATCAGGCTCATGCATGTACATGGTACACATAAGTTCACACAAGTAAACACATGTCCACATAAAATAATAAATATTTAAAGTAGAAAAAAATATTTCTACATACATAAAATTAAAATAATTTAATTTGGAATAACCTCAATACAAATACTTAGGAATAATTAGCAAAAGAACTTTTCAATTTTCATGCTGAAGACTACAAAACATTGAATTTTAAAAAACCAAATAAAGGAAAAGATAGTTCATATTCATGGGTGGAAAGATTTTATATTCTAAACACAGACCATCCCTCGGATTTATTTGCAGATTCAATACAATCTTAGTCAAAATTTCACTGATAAAATGCTTGCCCAGCATGTATGATGCCCCGACTTCAGTCCCTGGTACTAGAAAGCAAAACCCATCTGGCTTTTTCACAGAAATTTAGGAGATAATCCTAAAATCCAGATGGAAATATAAGAGTAATCAAGAAGAAAAGGCTACAACAAATATGACTAATAATGCACAAACATAGACACATATGAGAGGATTAGAATTGAAAGTCAAAAGTCATGCACTTTATAGTCAGTTGTTATTGGAGGGCCAACATCAGGGATTGAATCTGGAGCCTTGCCCATGTTAAGCATTCTGCTGTTGAGCTACATCCTCAACCCTGATTTTACTGGGTTTTTTTGTTGTTGTTGTTTTGTTTTGTTTTTTTGTTTGTTTGTTTGTTTTGTTTTTTTTTTTTTTTTAGTTTTTAATGTTTAAGATTTATTCTTTGGT